GCCGGTCTAGCGCACACCCTAGGTTCCCTAGACGTTGATGTCTGCTGCCTTTCAGAAACCCGATTGCAAGATCCCAGCACTGTGCTTACATTGACATCCCCCACTGACCACGAAGCCAGATATCACCTGCGTCTTTTTGGAGATCCAGTAGCAGCCTCGGCGGGTCTGGCCGGTGTAGGTGTAGCACTAAGTGACAAGGCCGAGGTGGCACTACTGGACTGGTTCCTGAATAACAGCCGACTATGTGTAGTTCGGCTTCGGGGTTCATGTAGAATCAACAGGCACCGCGAAGAGAGACACAACTTGTTTGTGATCTCCGTGTACGCTCCAAGTGACTGCAGTGGCGACTCGGTCAAGGACGAATTCTACCGGGATCTACAACAGCTCTTGACTAATGCCAAAAAGTCGGATGTCGTTGTCCTTTCTGGGGATTTTAATGCACGGGTTGGCCGCCTGTTACCATACGAACGCCACCTTGGTGGTCATCACTCGCTCGATGAGAACCGCTCAGTTAACGGAGGGAGACTTCTCACATTGTGCGAAGACAACCGCCTGTTTCTTTCGAGCACTAACTTTAGGTGTACGAAGAAGCGTTCCGCAACGTGGCGTCCCCCTTCTTCAACACAACCGTGGTCTCAAGCTGATCACATTGCAATTAGCTTCAGATGGCGTGGCAGCGTACTGGACTGCAGGTCCTTTTGGTCCACCTTCGTTCACTCAGAGCATGCTTGGTCTGCGCGAAAATCTGTGTGTTTTGAAGGATCCCGAAACACGAAGCACCTCAAGATTTATGTAAACAGATTATCTGATCCCTCAATCCAGGCGAGCTATCAGTCCTCACTGGCATATACACTCAGTTGCAATCCACCGCAAGAAGTGGAACAACACTGGACTTGTATACGGAAGGCAATGACCATTTCCGGACAGTCATGCTGCGTCCTAACTCGACGCCCCTTGAAGGCTTGGATCTCTGCTCATTCTCTGGAGCTGTTCGAAAGCCGCAAAGATATCCCGGCGGAATCAGATTGCAACGAGCGGCGCCGTTCTGCCAACCGGCTACTCAAGCAAAGCCTACGCAAGGATCGCGAGGCATGGTGGTCTGAGCGTGCTTTAGAGATGGAGACCGCTGTCCTCTCTGGCAACACTCGCAGGCTTTTCCAACTCATTCGGTCCACTGGCCTCAGGAAGCCTGGTGTCAGTGAGGTCATTTGTGAGGTGGATGAGTCTCCGATTACCAATCAACAGAGGCGTATGGACCGCTGGGCCGAGCACTTTCACTCGCAGTTCAACTGGCCTCCACCATCATTCAGTACATGCAGTACACCTTGTTGTCCACCCTGGCTCGTCCCACTGAGTCCATCCAGCGAAGCGGAAGTCTGCCTCGAGATTCGACGCTTGAAGCGGTTCAAGGCTGCCGGCTTAGACGAACTTCCTCCGGAACTATTCAAGTATGGCGGTGTGGCGATCATTAACCAGCTGCCCGCGCTGTTCGCAAACATTTGGCATGAAGAGAAAGTGCCTTCCTTTTGGGGCGAATCAGTTATTGTCCCGATTTTCAAGAAAGGCGCTCGCACTTCATGTGCAAATCTTCGCGGGATTAGTCTTATTTCGGTTGCCTCTAAGCTATTGGCATCCATTCTGCTTCGCAGGCTATCCCCGGTACGTGAATCATACTACCGTGAAGAACAAGCTGGTTTCCGTCCTGGCCGCGGATGCGTGGATCAAATCTTCACGCTCCGCCAGCTCCTCGAACATCGCCACATTTATCGCAGGCCCACTATCATTGCATTTCTAGACATACGTGCCGCTTTTGACGCCGTTGATCGACCGGCTTTATGGCGTTGTTTACTAAAGAACGGGGTGCCAGAGAAATATACCGCCATCTTACGAGCACTTTACCTTCATACATCCGGCAGAGTGAGGGTCTATGGCAAGCTTTCCTCGCAATTCGCTGTCAATAGCGGTGTGCGACAGGGCTGCCCTATGTCCCCATTCCTGTTCAACTTCACAATCGAAGACGTTCTGTCCAATGCTCTAGAAGGTTTCCAACATTTTGGCTTAGAGCTTCTACCGGGTGAGCGCGCGACCGACTTAGATTATGCTGATGATATCGCCTTACTTGGTGACGATCCTCAGAGTATGCAACTCATTTTGGATCGTTTGGCGGTTGAAGCATCTAAGTATGGCATGAGCTTTGCCCCATCGAAGTGTAAAGTACTGCTCAAGGATTGGCTTTCACCTGCTCCCGTGCTCACCCTCGAAGGTGCACAACTTGACCAGGTAGATAGTTTCGTCTACCTTTGGAGCTGTGTTTCTGCTGACGGCACTATGAACAAAGAAGTTTCGCTTCGTATCGCTAAAGCTCGATCAGCATTGGTCAATCTGAGGCATTTGTGGCGTCGTCGCGACGTCTCATTCTCACTAAAGGGCCGAGTTTACAGCGCATTAGTTCGTTCAGTATTGTTGTATGGGTGCGAGTCCTAGCCGATTCGCATGGAAGACATGCGTCGTCTTTCTGCGTTCGAGACCGGTTGCTTAAGGAGAATCGCTCGTGTTTGGTGGCAACATGGAGTTAATAGTAATGACGTTCGACGTCGCATCTTGGGGAATGCGAGTATTCCCTTCAACAAACTGGTTTTGTTGCGCCAGTTAAGATGGCTCGGTCACGTCCTACTCATGGCACCTGAGCGTCTACCGCGTCGCGCACTATTCGCACGTCAAGAACCTGACTGGAGGCGACCGCGTGGTGGTCAGGCTTCCACTTGGCGGCAACACATGAAATCGCTGACGTCGTGTCTAGCCGCTGTTGGCTCCGTACGTCCTCCAGGATGGGGACCCAAAGATGAGGAGTGGCAATGGCTTAGCACTCTTTAAGATATGGCCCGCAACCGGAATCAGTGGAGGAATTGTGTACGGTATTGTATTGATTCACATGATTAATACTACAATGATTAAAATGACAAAAAAGAGCAAAAGCGGCATGTGAAAGACAAACTAAAAATGTTTTGTTCTACTTTTTATCAAAATGTTCCATTCTTCCTGTGGCATATTAGTTGAAGTGTGTTGCTCACCTTCAACTAGCATGCCACGATGGTTACGATGTGATGATTCTTACTTATCTGCTGATTTCCATGGTTTTATGGTGGCTCTATGTCTAGTTAATAGATTGTTAAGATTACATACATACATACATTCGAGTTGGAAGTGGAACTCTCCACATAGTTCCTGGCGGCTATCGCCATGATCACTAGATCATTGAACTCCACAAGCAGTGCTTTGCACATCGGTTAGAAGTTTCTTTTCGACTTTTGGAGCACCCGTTCTCGTTGCTTCCGTGGAATAAATGGTAGCTTCATTCCAGTCATTGCAACCACGATGTTATTATTTGCATGGCATACGAGATCATGAGGAATTCCTTTAGTTCTCCTGAAATTGTTTCCTGCTTAAAATAGGCATCAGCAGTAGGCTGGTATGCAATACGGACGCTTCGCTGCCGCGAAACCACCACCAGTCGCACTTGAACTAAGTCTACTGCAAAGGTCGCCGTGTCCCTACGCAGGCTCGAACCCTCTCAGTGACATTAAAATTCAGCCTTGTTACCTTTAGTCTATGGGCCGGCTTGGTTCCCGTTTGTAAATGCGTACACAGTAGCCTCACTAATATTCACCCATCCTCTGCTTTTGCAGTAAGTTCTTATCCTTCACTGTGGCTGCACGCACCGGTATATAAGTGTCTGACATGAGTTCGTCCTAAGTCGGGTTCTACAACATATCAGCTGGTATCTTGTTGGTTCCATCTGTGTGTGAAGCTGCTTGATCCACCGTGCAAGACGACTCCTCAGGTCTTTCGTTGTCATCAGTCAAGAGAGAAGTTTGTGGTCAGTGATTGCATGGAACTCATTCGCTAAAATGTACCGTATATTATCGAACATAAGCCCTTCCATAGATGAGCCGACAGTATAACTTTACAGCATCAAATTTGTGTAAGTCTCTGTATTAGCCGACCCCTAAAAATCAGCAAAAGAGAATCGAAATTGTTTCTGCACGATTTTGACATCACTTGAGTGAATTCAAGCGCAACCTGCTTTACTGCTGGTCAGCTGGTGTGACAGTAATGTGTTGTAATCGCGGTTGTTGGGGCGTACGACCGTCAGAACAGATTTTCGCCGCACCGGACACTGTATCAATCGGATGTAAAGACCTGAAACAGATTAGACGGCCGACAATGTAGGGTAAGGTGAGAGGGGACCTCATGCATATTAACCACCGTAGAGCATTGGGTGAGCACAAAGTTCACGATCAGGAGAGTGGGATGACCTCATACTTTTAAGGCACTGGATCGCCTGGCATAACACAATGTTTAAAAGATTTTAATTCGCTACTGCCATCCGTCGCGAACGTCAAATGTGCAGTATACCGAGAACTTTCAACATAAAAGTAACCTATCCGGTTATGTGCACTTCAAATCCCCGTCTGGAAAACCGTCCGTCACTAGTGGGTGGTAGTGCTAAGGGGAGATAAGAGTAGTGCTGGGCAGTGAATTCCTGGCTGGTTTTTGCATGTGACTTTTTTAAACTTCCGTATAGCCATTTTATAAACCGACCCCCCCTCTATAGAACGAAAAATTATCTAAAACTCACAGGCTTATATTCATTAATATGCGGTATGTCGTCTACTTCTCTAAAGCCCATACGATTGCAAGACATTCTTGGCCGTATAATGCTTTTGTTCCTCGCAGTTCACCAATATATTGACAAATGTTATCGTTCCAGTTGATTTGGATAGCATCGCATCGATTGCAACATCCTTTTCGTCCACCGCCACAAAGAATCTTCCACGCAGATCGAGTATGCGTAAACATTCTGGATTCTTTGCTATGCACAACTTTTTGGTTTATATATATATATATATATATATATATATATATATATATATCCTGGTTTCCTTTGGTCCGGTTACTCAGCAAACGTACACTTGGTCTTTTTTGTCTCTTTTTAATAGGTCGAAGCGCTTTTTGGAAAGCACTGGTTGGAACTCTTTTTCAGCACGAATATTTGCGTTAGTTGTGGATTTGTGAGTTACTTTTCCTTTCTATCTGTTTTGTTCTTTGACTTTGCGCTGTCTACATTTTTCGGTTCATTCTACATGCTCATCCTGATATCAATTCACTACTCCATCTCCACCACCACTCCGCGAATTTTAATCGCCTCTTAATTGTATTTTGTTTCCGGAAAATTGCAAACTCATTCATGCCCACTAAAATTCTGCTAAGATGCGCACATTTTTAGCTTGAATTCTACTCGGTGTTATAATTGTGTGCAGCTCCATACTTTTACTACTTACTTCTGGTGCTTTAAGCATGCGAGATGTCTCTGGCGCCCAACTTAATTTAACATCCAAGCTCTTTGTTTCAAATAGCCAGCGGAGTTTATAAAGTGTTTAAATTAGGTTCGACGCTAATAAACTCAATCAAAAACAGTACACTTCCCGGTAAGCTTCGGAGACTAACCAGCAGCACCAAGTCGTCGAGTAGCGATGGTAACAAATGCGTCTTTCACTTGTTTTGTGAATCAAAGTATAGACCCATGACCGAATACGCTCAGGCAAATGCATCTCTCCAGTAATTCGATTTCGCAGTCACCTGCTCATCTCAAGAGTCTAAGACGGCATCACCGTGGCACTTTCCTCACTGCTTTCACTACCTCGGTCAGTGTTACACACACTTGATAGCCAATTTAAGTAAACGATGACCGCAAACCCTCCATCGGTCTCGGTCGCTTAGGGCATTTTCTGGGGTCTCGAGTGAAGCACGGCTTGGGCGACGTGAACTTCAAAACGGTAGGCGGAGCATATTGACATTACTCAAACTGTTGCTCAGTAATGTCACAATCCATCACCACTGTACCGCGAAGTGGTCACAGTGGGAGTAGACCTAGTTCCAGTTGGCAAGTGGATGATAGATCTTTGGTTGAATTGCAAAATAGTACAATCGGGTTGAGAGAGTAAGGACGCGGCGTGCGAACGGGAGGATGAGTATATTCTCAGTGTGTTTAAAAGCTTACACATGTGCATCAGAATAACAGACAACAGGATTACAGGTAGGTAGCAAAGTTTACCGTTCGGAAAATCGCCATTTGTAAGCGGGACATCTATAGGAACATGACAGTATGCGAAAATGGTGCATGATATGAGAAGTGCCGCTACACCATGTCAATCGTTGTTCACTCATGCTATAAACCGGCTTTTTCAGCTAAGCAAAGCAATGCGCAGCTAAATGTGATAGGTGGGTATACGCGGCTTGTGCCCTACGTACGTAACATGCGCAATCTCATGAGTACGGGATCTGTGGTGTTTGTAATTAAGGATTCTTCGTAACTATTGCCAAGTCAAATACTCATCCACTCAGCTGCTGTTGGTGGGAGCCGTGACTCTCCATACCAAGTCTGTTCTCTGCAGCTTGCATGGTAGTCGAGGCAAAGTTTCGCTGTAAGCTTGTAAGTCATGATGCTCCCCAGCTTTCCCACGTGGCATATTGGCCTACGTTGTTAGTGATTATGGGCTCCGATCCCAATGGAACCTTATCAAACGTGCTACGGACGAGTCTCACTTAAACCAAATGTCCATCTAGTACTTTTCTAGATGTGCAGAGGCTATCAGTTTGGCATATACTGCTAAGGGCCCTCATCAGACAATATACAGTTTCATTTATTTTCCTCAACATCCTGGCTCTAACACCGCGGCTTAGGTTTCGCGTACGCCACTTCCTCATTGTGAGTACTCTGATTCAACTCCAAACTGGAAGTGCCCTGTGCGCAACAACAGTCAAGGGTCTAATGTGGAAAAGCACGTCTCACTACACTTTTGTAATAATTATCAGTGGATGTAACTCGATTTCTCCTCCGGCTTCGGATATGTCGATACTTTATGAGATTCCTCTTGGTTTCTACAATTTGTGGGTTGACTACAGATGTCATGTACTCATTGCTTCTATTCAATTGCCAGTATGTTTTCGCGAAAAAAGCGTCAGTTATGTACAGTCACTGCTCGAGTGACTAGCGGTCTTTCATGGGTGTTCTTCAATTACCAAACGGCAATTACTAACCGTTTTCGCCCGTGACGATTTGTGCAGCTTGGCATTACATTACTGGACTACAAGCACAATACTGGTTGTTCGTCGCCGCTGCTTTAGACGTGATTTGTTTTACAATCTTCCTTGCACCTCTTTGCTGGCGTCTCACCGTTTCTCTGTCGCATTTAGGAGACATCCTTCATCTCATCTCTCTGCGCCCAGAAACCGCTTTCAATGAAAAATTTTACGCTGTAATATAAACATATTCCTTCACACTACATATATTTTGGTCTTTCTGATTAACTTTCGTTTGCTTCATTCTAAAATGCACATAATACAATCATCCGTTTTACTGACCAATCCCGTTGTCGCGTTTGTAACAATCTTGTTGCAATGAGGACATGTCCGACAACCAGTCAACGATTTTCTTATTCTATAAGTTTATGCGAAATCGGCATTGCCATCGACGTATTGTAATTTATTCGAAAAGATTGCTCAGTGCTTCAACCTTTGAGCGTCCAGTATTGACTGACATTGAAGAATCACTGGTTTACAACCTTTGTTGGACAATAGCGGCTACTGTTGGGATGTATATACGGCGTGCCAAATTGCAGCCAAGAGAACAACACTTTTGACTCATCTGCATTGGAATACACTGCAATCCTACCGTTATATCATAACATTATCGCAAGGGAATTAATCCGCCATCAACCACATGGTCCATAGGAATCGCACTTTTAAAATTCCAATATCTTCTCTTCGGTACTTAAATGAATGACTGGCTGGCAAGAACACGTCTCCCAACCTATCAGAGCTTTCATTACCGGATCTCATTGTTACACTGGGCACACCTGCTCTTGGTATTGGCTTTTTGGAAGAATTTCCTCGGACCGTTGTCGGATGGTCAAATGTCGCAATCAGAAATCAAAGGTTACGATTCCACCACGCAAATCAGAGAACGTTTTTTCTACTTCAACACTCTATACTCTGGAACAGACTTCCAAAACATATCGGGACATGCAATGCACCTTGTGAACACAACTTTGGGATAAATGTGCATTTAGCAGTTCAAAGCGCAGTTCGAGACATCACAATCCCTGGATGAAACTTTCGAAACCAGTGTTAATGGCTCCTGGCGAAAACTATGAATGCAAACATGTATCTGTGCTAAGTAAACATTTGCATATCGCGCTTTGGCCCACCGCTCACTTCGTCTCATTTCTTATCTCCTCCCGAACACCTGTCACATGTTCATAAAGAACACTGGTGTATCAGCAGATTGCAAAATGCACATAGATTTCGGACTACTCTGTGTCACACACACACACACATACACGCGCGAAATTTGAGCTCACATTCTATGAAGTTCACTTTGCTAGAGCATGAAATGATGGTAATATTTTTTGATCTGTTTCTTCTACGAGACAACTCGCGTGGCCAAAAGCTATACAGTTTGTTTCTTTGATCATTTAGTTTGCTTATGGCCTTTATCATTATCACTCTACACATTGTCCTCCACCTGCTTGTTAGGTAGGATTCAAACTAACGTGAGACTGACATTCAGTCATGACTGGTGTCGAAGTTACACAGCTTTGGGCTGATGATGACCCGTGGTCACGCTACCTTTAGGGCCCCCCATCTTTCGGATAGCGAACCATGTGGATCTTTTAACACCTTACTCCATCAAATGTGTACTGCGGGTGTTTTAGAGCTCCACCACTACCATTTGGTCGATAGTAGACCATGTTATTAGCAATCTTGACATTTTCCAAACATTACTGTAACTCTCCTTTGCACATACCACTTCACCATTTGCTCATGTTTGTCTCACTATATAGAAATTGAATACTGGCACCCTTTAATTTGATGCTCTTTCACTTTTCCTCATTCAGTTTGATTTCATCACGTGGTCTAATCCACCACCTAAAACTTCGAGGTATTCCGGTAAGTTGACCGCTTTTTCTTCTCTTCTCCCATTCAAGTCGAATCTTTCATTTGTTTTCTTTGTTTACGGAGTAGTTGTATCGTTCCTAATGGCACCGCTAACCTGCATGCTCATGCTTCTTCTTCTTTCAAAGATATCAGGCTTTTCAATGCATTGTTCAAACCTGTAGACCCTCTCCTCTTGGTGCGATTTGTGAGTCTGTACAGACGGTGCATTGTTATCAGGGTTTCTCGAAAGCACCCACAGAGACGCAAGAATTAGCTAGTTTAACTTGGGGATTCATACCACACCTAGCCATTATGACGATACAGTAATCGATATTTGAATCTCCCAAGGCAAAGTTGGACATTTGCCGTGTCCAACTGCTTTTGCGGTTTGTCGTCATCATTCTACACATCGGCTAAGAATGAAAGGCACCTGAGCTCTTATGCCGTAACACAATAGGGTAAGATATTCAAAGACAGGTAATCAACAGTGGGTCGTAAAATGTACAGGATAGAATCAACTGATAGTACCCTTTTTATTCTTATTTAATGGCACTGAGGTAGTGGTTGGGGGAGGGGGCTCATTGGATGGGTAGGGCGAAGGAACTCGCAACAAAACACCACTGCGGTCGATTCCTTATCATATCCACAAGTGGGTGTAACTAGCCATGTTCATGCTCCTTCAGATCCCAGTCAGAAGGTTGAGAGACTAACGGGGACCGAACTCGGAGTAAAGGACTTATTATCCTTTACGCCAAGCGTTACTCGTCGTGATCCGATGCCTTAGAGAGAGAGGTCCAAACTAACATCCCAGTAGTCTCGGGTTCGAGGTTTGCTATCTACTTGATGAGCGGGCGGCACCCAATATCTACCGAACTTTATTCTTCTTGAGCACGTCTACGAATGGACCTGGAACGTTGATGATGGAGAGAAATAATGCCAAACGAGACAGTCGAGTCTTTTTCTAATTCATCCGCAACACTGGTCCAAGAAAGCCCTCAGTCACTAAAACTATAGCTGAGGAAGATGGACAGCTGACCCATTCTTGGCCTCCTCGACTAACTCATGGAGTGGAATATTTTTGAGAGCAGTTCAGCAGGCATGCTGCGACACTGCCGCTTGCCGAATCACCTGACATGGGAACGTGACGTCAAGCCCACTTTGGATGAGCTTCAGCATAAGCTCATTGTGTTGAAGCGAAATGGCTCATGGATCCGAAAACCTTCCTCCATCTTTCCTGAAGTATAGTGGTTATTGCTCTTTTCAATATCATTTGTGTTTCTGAAAAGGTGTCCGTCAATCATTGTCCTCACTTTAAAAGAGTCAGCAGCATTTGTGCGAAAAACATGATGTCATTATCCTTATTACTGTTGTCTCTAAATTTTTAACTCATATCTTACTATGACGACTCATCTGTTTTCATTTGGGTCGAATCAATGACAGTCAAAATGGATTCCATCCTTGTTATGGTTTCATTGACCAAATATTCACTCTTCCTCGTGTTTTAGTAGAGGCTGCATTAGACGACTTTGGTGGTCTTCCTTGTCCTGAAAAGCTCCTTCGACTCTGTTCATCGTGTGTGTTTTGGTCTCGTTTATCCAATATGAACTTTCCACGGTAACTGCTTTTCATTCTTCAACCTCTACCGTAAATCCGATTAAGGGTATAGTGGAAGCTGTCACCTTAGTTCCGTAAAAGAATTGGGGTTCGCTAGAATTATCCTGTTTTGCTTTCCGCTGGCAGTTTGGATAACCTGTGCGGTCCTCAACCAGTTCAACCGCAATGACATGAGAACGCCAAGGAAACCGCCGGACCGAAGGATTCTATTGTATCAGAACATGGCGCAATATACTTGTTGTAGGAGGCCACTAACACAACAAAATTGGAGATGCTAATTAACATTAATTAACGCAAATCAAACGGTTCAACTTCATGGTCCAACTTGCCGTTGATTCCACATAGATTCGCATTTTGATCTGTACTCGAGTTCGATCTCTAGTTATAGATCGATTCACTGTTGCGCCACTGCTCTCCGCCTGAGCGCTGAGTGAAAACTATCTTCCAAAACCACCTCCCTCCCGCAAATTAACGCATGACTCGTCTCGGATCCAGCTGCATTCTGATGACGGGTGTCTGTACCCGATCAGAGCAGCGTCTTGGTTGCATAATTGGCTCTTTTGGGACGATCGTGCAAGCTGCTTCAGAAGCGTTCTGTGTACTGAGTGGCATGTCGAAACTGTCCATCAGGATATCCAGCGGTAGCGGTCGACTGCTTGTGTTTATCGATATGCTAGTTGGCCGAAGCTGATTAGCGTGTCTGGTCCAAATGTGGTCCCCCACTTTAACATTAGATAGGACACGTCCAAATCTACTCTGGACCAGACCTGTCGCCCATCTTGGTTTTTTCGCGTGGCAGTCTGTGATAAAAGTTTCTGTCCTGTGTAGAATCGGCGTGCTTGTGTCCTATTTCGTTGGTTATAGTAGTCCTCCATTCTCAGGTTTCTTTCTTGCGGGGTATCTTGCTTCGGAAGCAATAACGCGTTCATTATGCGAAGCTTTCGTCTCATTAACGCTTCTGCTGATGATAGCTGATTGGGACGTGGGGATTCGGTGTCGTCCTGTACATAAGTAGAAACGCATCCAATATCTCCTGCGTGGTTCCCTCTCCCCTCATTTTCAGCAAAGCTCGCTTCAAGGTATCGACAAATCGTTCTGCCTGTCCGTTAGATTGTGGATGGAACGGTGGCGAGCGTACATGGGTAATGCCATTCTGAGCGCAGTACTCGGCAAAACAGGAAGAAGTGAACTGTGACCCGTTGTCTGTGACTAGCATTTCTGGCACTCCATGTTGGCTGAAAAGCTTCCTCAGTACGTTGATCGTTGCGCCACTGGTCAAATGCTCTATGCAAAGTACCTCGGGCCATTTAATGAAAGCGGCAACAATCACAAAATGCTGCTGCATATCCATCAGACTAAAGAAATCTGCATGCACACACGTCCAGGGTTTCGTTGTCAAAGGCCAGGAGGCTAATTCCGCTTTTCTGGGCGCCTTACTGGCAAGTGCACATCTCTGACATGACTTTGCCATCTGCTCCAGTTCCGAGTCGATATTCGGCCAGTAAACGAAACTCCGAGCAATCATCTTCATCCTGTTAATACCCGGATGGCCTCGATGGAACTGCTGTATAACCCTGCAGCGAAGCTCTGAGGGGACTACAACTCGTTCGGCCAGCAATAAGCATCCGTTGACGATTGACAGTTCATCCTTCCTTAGGAACAACTTATGCAGCTCACCTGTCAGTTTATCCTTGGGCCACTGTGTAGTGTGATATTTGATCGCTTGTTGAAGGACTGGATCTCGGGTTAATGCATCACGCTTCAAAAGTAACCGGAAGCTTTCTGAGACTCTCCATCAGCACTTGGTTCACTTCAGACTCCAAGGAAATCGCTGCGATGATTGATTCTTCTTTCTGGGGCTGCTGATTTTCCAATAGTCGAGAAAGCGCGTTAGCTTGGCCCATGTCCTTTGTGGAGATATGCTTCACCTCAAAGTCGTAATCGAGCAAAGTGGTGGCCCAACGTTGCAGCCTGTTCGCTGTGTAGACTGGAATGCCTGACTTTGATCCGAAAATTGCCAGCAGCGGCTTATGATCAGTAAGAAGTGTAAACTTTTTCCTATAAAGCATCTTGTGAAATTTCTTTACTGCGAAAACTATCGCCAAGGCCTCTTTCTGACCATAATTTCGTTCTGCGGGAGACAACGATCTGGCTGCGTGTGCAACTGCCTTTTCTGAGCCGTCTGCGAACTTGTGAGCTATGACTGCACCAATGCCATAGTTCGACGCGTCTGTGGCCACCACAATCTCCAAGGTAGGGTCGTAATGCGTCAGTAGAAGATCGGAACATAGAAGTCTTCACCTGCTCAAATGATCTCTGACATTCTTCGAACCAGTTCCAGGGCTTATCCTTGGTCAGTAATTCATTCAGTGGGCCACGTAAGTGATGCATATGCGGCAGGAACGGGCTGTAATGGCTTATGAGTCCTAGGAAGGACCTTAATGTTGCAAGATCTTTGGGGGCAGCATCTTCTTGATAGCTTCGATGTTCGCTGGATCTGGACGTCTGCCATTCCTGTCGACTATAAAACCGAGAAACGTAATTGAGTCCATAAAGAAGGACACTTCTCCGGTCGGAGTCTGAATCCATACTCTTCAACACGACCAAGGACTCGATCCAACTTTTCGAACAGGTCATCAGCATTGCCTCCGACAACAATGATGTCATCCAGGTATGCAGCTGCGCCATCGACGTCTGTCAGCATTGTGTCCATGATCTGTTGGAATATGGCTGGTGCGGACTTGACTCCAAACGGAAGACGGTGGTACTGATACAAGCCTCGGTGCGTATTGATGGTGAGTAATTCTCGTGAGGCTTCATGTACCTCGATCTGCAGGTATGCGTCGGAAAAATCCAGTTTTGCGAAACATTTACCCCCATTCAGTTTTGCAAACAAATCATCCGGAAGCGGTAAGGGGTATTGATGAGCATTCAGTGCAGCATTCAGACCCGTTGAGAAATCGGCGCATATTCGAATTTGACCGTTCGGCTTTTTGACGACCACAATAGGTGCTGCCCAGGATGAGTAGTTCACCGGGTGGATAACTCCTGCTCTCTCTAAACGATCCAGCTCCTGGTCAACCATCGGTGTTGCCGCGTAAGGTACAGGGCGTCTCGTACGAAACACTGGAACAGCATCGGGCTTAAGGGATAGTGAAGCTTGTACTTTGGTGCACTTACCGAGGCCTTCCCGAAAGACTGCTGCATACTTCTCTCGCAGGCGCTCGATGGCCACTGTTTTGGGGGCTGTTAGTTTGTGTATCTGGACAGTTGCACAAATCTGGTTTATCGGAACATCAAGCAGATTGAAACGCTCAATCCAGTCTAGACCCAGGAGATTTAAATTCTGATGGCTCGTGACGAAAAGCGATCCCCATGCGGTAAAGTCGGCATAGCGACACTCACATTCAACTTGACCAAGCAATTTCAACTCCGTACCTGATGCAGTCTTCGCCTGCTGACTGGTAGGTTTGATATCGGGGGACCCGACAATCCTCCACAGCCTTTTTGATATGACCGTGATGTCTGAGGCGGTATCAATCTGCAAGCGCGTCTGTTTTCCATTGATGCTGATGGTGATGTACTTTCTTCTATCTCGGACATCATCAGTAAAATTGGCGTTCACTCTCTTTGCAAAATGACCGTAGGTCTTCTTTCGATTATCGTGAACTGGCCGGAAAGGTGGTTTGGCTCTGCAATGGGTTTCTTTGTGCCCACGTCTACGGCATTTCTGGCAGGTATGCTTGTTGAATGGACACCATCTAACAAAATGCCAGTCACCACATTGCCAACAGGCTGATGGTGGCTTACCATGTGGGAGCTTCTTGTGATCAGTGGCTGGAAATTTGTTCCTGGAAATCTGCTGGACTGCGAAATCATTGTAATGCGTCTTTGTTTCCTCGATCATAACTGTATCGTGTTGCAAAGTAATGATTCTCTGGGCCTCTGCAATGAGAGCCTGCAGTGTGACGTCCGGGTCTCGCTCCAAAAGCCTCAATATTCTGGTCCGTATCTCGGCATCCTTAGAAGATTGCAGGCTGCACACCAAAATCAAACACTCAAATTGATCTTCAGTAAGTGATTTCAGCTTGAATTTTTGACACTCTTGCTTCACTTTTGCGGCATAAGCAATGAGACTGTCGCTGTCCCCTTAGCACAGCTTCAGACAATTGTACCGACTGTTGAAAAGCGATGCATGGTCGCCGAACATTTCCGAGAGTCGGGAAACTGTTTCCTCAAAACTGAAATCTTGAGCGGTCTTGGCTAAACTGTAAATGACGTATCTGACGTGCTCCACAGTTCCGAGTTTACGCAAGAATAGTCGCACTTTGTTGCATCGTCAAGATTTGCCAGTTCCGTCGTGAAATTATCTTCATAACGTCTGAACCATGCATCGAAAATCAGCCCTGAAGCGGGATCAAAAACGAACTCATTGACACTGTTGACTATCGCATCGACTGAAGGCTTCTCAGCATTGTGGAGGGCTGTAGACTGAGGCGATAGTGTTCGAGTGAAAGTCTCGTTCATACGCAGCTGTACCGCCTCGAATTGTTGCTGCTGTTGAAGCAAAATAGCTTTCAGCTCTTCTGCTGAGATAGCCATCTTGAATCAGTTTACCGCCGTCTTCAGAAATATCTAGTGGTTTCCGCTGACAGTACGGATAACCTGCCTGAATCAGTTGTGCCGCCCCCAACCAGTTCATCCGCAACAAAATGAGAACGCTAAGAAAACAATCGAACCGAGGGATTCTATTGTATGAGAGCGTGGCGCAATAAATAGGGTGTAAGAAGCCACTAACACAATAAAATTGGAGATGCTAAGTAATAGTAATTAACACAGATCAAGCGGTTCAAGTTCATAGTCCAACTTGCTGTTGATTCCACACGGATTCGCATTTTACTCTGTACTCGAGTTCCATCTCTAGTATTTTAGCTTGATCCACTGTTGTTCCCCTGCTCTCGGCATGAACTCTGAGTGAAAGCTATCTACCTGTAACATATCCTATGCTTCATTTCCTGTCCAACTTTGTGATCGCAATGAGCATACATGACTCCATTCTTTTAGACTCTACTGTGTGGCGGAAAATCTCTTAGGTAACTGACTGACAAATTTAAACTATACGGACGACATTGCTCTTCTTTGGTCTGGTGCAATGGCGCTGCTGCATAACTAGACGCGTATCGCTGCGCGCTTCCGCATGTGTTTTGCACCTTTAAAGTACAAAGTGCGAAATTGACCGATACATCTTAAGTTTTATCTGTTAACAAACAGCCACTTGAATTGGTCGATTCGTTCACTTACCTTGGTGAGGGTGTCACCTCTAGTGGTCAAATCATTGAGGAGATTACTTCGCGTATCAGTAAGCCCCATGTGGCTTTCCAGATGACCATCTATTTATGGAAATGGCGGGATCTCAGTCTGTGAATGGAAAGTTTGGTGTTTACCGCTGCGATAAAGCCGGTGTTGCTGTTTGGATCACAAGCCTGGCCAATTCACAGCGAAGACATTAAACCCTTTGCCGTGTTTGGCCAGCTGCGCTTGCTGAGTCCTGCTCACATGGTTTTAAGCAAGTCTTCTAGTGCCTCTCTCGAGTGCGCGCTGGATCTTAATCGCTTACGTTGTCTGGGCCACCCATTCTCAACGGCGGTCATATGTCCCCTGGGGACCCCGGGGTGAGGAAACTTTTTGTGGGGGGCACCATAAGGAGCCGTGCTGTTGGGTCTTGCTAACATAAATAACAAAATTCATTAAAAAATTTTCTGATAGTTTCTCTCATCGCACTAAGCTCCCATGGTAACTACACCTCAGTGAAATGAATTAGGCATGCGCAAATGCCTGTTTACGAAGGTGTGAAAGCCAGGCTGAGGAGACTTTCTATGGCGGAGCCGACATAGCTTCGCCAAACTTGCGCGGATTTCGGCGGACTCTCCTCAAACACACAAGCACCGTACGGCGAATTAGACTGCGCAGCTAACAACTGATTCGTCCTCAGGACTTTGATGCCCATCCACAGTGAACCAAACTTGCTGTACTCAGGACACTGATGTATCTACTGTGCAAGCTGCAGTGAACCTAGCGAACTCTTGTCAGAACAGTGCGACACTTACGGCACAAAGCCACACTGACAGTGAGTTTTCTTCAGATCACTACCACTGTGTGACGACTCATGTGCCGGTCAATCTTCCTTTCTCGTTCAGACCTCAATGCGGCAGAGCTAGGTTACGCGTTTTTCGTATCCAGTCTCAGTTGGCAGTCTTTCACCAGTCTGTATTTCTAATGGTTATAAGGAAGAAGTTGTTTAAGATTATTGGTGTGAAAACACATTTAACTGACATTTAGGAAGGTGGAACACTATCGTCTCAGTTCGCGTGCACGTCTGGCGGCTAAGTCACGTTAGCCAGCAAGGTTCCGAATTCGAGTGGCTACTCTGCGCGCGTGGGGTACTATCTTACGTGAGGACATCCGGTTGCTTTGGTGAGTATATATAACATGATGTGTACATAAATATGATTCTCCTTATACTTAGAATAATCAACTACCTTGCCAGCATGCAATTGGCGTCATGTTTGGCAATAGCATATATACGTTATTCGCTTCGTTGTTGATGCTCTCATGCCGTTTTCTTGAACTATCCGACGTTTTCTTCCGTGTTTATCTCTTCGGTCCTTCATTTCACCTGTTGGCACTGTTTGATACAACTTTCCGGTAATGTATGTGTGTTCAGTGAGTATTGTCATTTTCTGAGTTCCATTTGTTTTCTTCATTGGCTTTTGTCAAGAAGTTTTCTTCAGTAATTTTAGCCAGCCACGGTACTTTTAAAGCCATCCTCAGAAACTACCTTTGCATGGGCTCCAACAATGTTTCTACACATATACATTTTAGCAATATGGCCACTAACATATGTTACAACTATTATATATATATATATATATATCATCTATTATCATTGTGAATTGTTTATATATATATATATATATATATATATATATATATATATATATATATATATAAACAATTCACAATGATAATAGATGAGATGGCTCAAGACATAGAAAGTACCTTAGTTACCTTACTATAGTCCAGAAAATTTTCGTTACGAGTAGATAAATCTACTTTATCTAATAATGACGCTCTTCTCGCGGCATATGTCCGATTCTTCAATGATAATGAATTAATTGAAGAGATGCTGTTTGCCAGGATATATAAAACTCATACAAAGTGCCAGTTTATATTCAAGGTAGTCAATGGCTATCTGCCTGAAAAATCCATCACAATGCAAAACATAGTTGCGGGTGCAACAGTTGGTGCTATCGCAATGGTCGGAATATATAGAGAATTCATTGCCCATCTAAAAGGTGTTTTCCCTTCTGTTCATTCGATTCACAGTGGGATTCACTCAGAGCACCCAGTGGCTAAGAACGTGGGAAGGCGCTTAAACGATTTACTGTCAACATGTATAATAGTAGATAAGAATATCAATCCACACCCCATTCAAGATCGTCTTTACCAGTTATTGTTTAATGAAAACAGTGAAGATTTCCAGGTTCTAATTTTGCATTCAGAAGTTTTCTGGCACTTCAAGGGCAACTGTATTCGCCGTTTTGTTGCACTCTGGAACACCATCATCACATTTCGTTCTAGAACTGATTATGAAATAAAACTTTTAACGACTAAGTCAGACGTGCTTTATCTGGCTGATGCTTTTGAATAACTCTACTTATTAAATAAAACTCTTGTAGGCAAGTTGGGTAATCTCATCTCGCGTAAAATGCTATCCTCGATTTTCTTAAAAAGCTGGAAGTATATGCTCAGAACATCGGACGTCGGGAAATTTCACACTTCCCAATTGATTGTTTATGCCAGTCAGTTACAACAACTCCGAAAAGAAATGGGACAGGCCACATGACCCGATTGACATGGAAATCCCGATTTAGCTTTTGGATTCATTTGATGTACAGCCCTGCAATGTTGGAGCTGAAATCCAGAAAAGTCCCATAGAGCTAAAAATGTCGCACTACCAAGATCCAAATTCACGCTATATAGAATGGATTTTCGGATAGGCTGATGCTCCAGACTGTGGAAAATAGCTGAACTATATTCCTTGCTTTTCCATCCACATGGATTAGATTGGATTCAGCAGACTGGTTTCTCCAACAAAAATAGAAACCGATTGGACATCACACCAGCAGTAGACATTCGACTTTGGCTGTCAACTCTGGAGCCGGACACAAGCAAGCTGGCTCAAGGACATCAGGCCCAAGGCTCGCATTAATATCCCGAAGAACACATTCTTACGAGGTTGCTACACTTCCTAATTCATGATATGCCTTACAGTTAAAACCCCACAATAAGTAACTACAATTTTAAACATTAATGATGACTTTTGTGTACTTACAGACGAGCGGCTTGATGTTGATGCACAATAAATGACATCTTGAGGCTGTGAAAGTTTTTTTTAAAAAAGTGGGTTTTTAAGCGGAACAGCATGGATACCAAAACTAACAATTTCGCTATCATAATAAAAGATATCAATATGGCCACTGGAAATCACAGATTTGTGTCAGGCGTTGCGGATCGCTGAAATTGTGGTGATCAAGTGTCGGGGCCATAAGAAATGGAAAGGTTCAAAAGGGGGCCACGGCTGAAGATCGGTTGAGAATGACTGGTGTAGGGCATGTCCTCGTGTGTCTGTTGACCGGCTTCCTCTGCATACCTTATACGCCGTGACTGCACCAAGTTGTGTGGAACCGCAAGATAGCTAGTTCATGACATGGCATAGAGGCTTGAGGAAATTGACCGGGAGATTTTGTCAGGCTAGTGCGTCTCATCATCGTAGATGGGGTCCTCGGGATCGTCCACACTAATTGTTGTAGACCTTATCAGATATTGCGCCGTCAGTGCCGTTCCTACAGGTGGTTTTATCATTTCATCCCGATTAGTTCCAAACACTTCTTTCTCGGTTCCACTTTAATGGTATCCTAGTTGCGCTCAGCCTCATTTTTTCTGCTTTTCTCGTTCTTCTGGCAACTGGATCTACCAAATTCCGCTGCCCGAGACTGAACTGGACACACCGGTCATGAGACTGCACTAACGCTTACATGCGATACGTTCTATGTGCTAAGGATACTTCTTGGATACTATTCCGTTGTTGAACTTGCTACTGCAAGCTAGTCTTGTTACCGGTTAAGCGCACACAGGGATGCTGCTGAAACACCCACAGGTAAACCTGGACTATATATCTTTATCAACCGATGGTTGCCAAAAGTGCGCACCTGCGTTGTAATTTGAAGGTCGCGGGTTCGAGTCCGCGTAGTTGTGGATGAGCTCGCGGTCTACTCAGCACACGCGCTCCCGCTGGTAATCGCGTAGCAGCAAAGCGTCGGTAAGGTTTACTGGTCTATTGCTGATGCCACGGTTGACTCCTCGATGGTTGGCTGCGGTTTGATTAGGAGGCAGTTGTGTCTGACGCGCTGGATAACGTTAACTGAGTTTACCCCAGGGCTCAGCATCTCAGGCTGGTAGTTCAACATTACCGCACGTGCTCCACTTCACCGCGTTCATGGGGCGCTTCTCTTTAGTCCAACTTGTGAGATGGTTCAAATTGTCGGGGTTGCGAATGCGCGATCAACTTGGCGGTTAGCTTAGCGAAACTGTTTTGGAGGGGCATATCTATATTTTGAGCGCGCGGACAATGGTTGACTTATTGCATTTGTGCGTCTGTCATTAACTGTTCCTAAACAGCAATCTCTTCAGACCCAGTGGACACTGGTGTGCCGGCCGGTATCCTACATCTTCTCGCCAGTGGGCCACAAGTTCCTGGTGTTTGGTTCAGTCCTTGACTGCCCCTCGTTTAGGGACATTCCACATTTGGCTACCATGGACTATGGAATAGAGATGGTGAGTAAGTAGGAAACTGTTCCCGCATATTGGGGTGTACTTACCACAAAGACAATTTCCAGGCGACATTCACAACGCGCGTGCTGACCACAGCGACATCAAATTGACACTGATGGCGACATGTCTACCGACCTTGATTCCAGTCCAGTTCTTGTCATGCATTCTGTTCTTTCCCATATCTATGGGATTAAACGTTATCGTGATGCATTAGTTTACTTGTCTCTAAGATCTGTTGAGTTGTGTTTAGTGGTGTTCCTTGTAACTTCAGAGTCACTAACATTCGATTTTGCAATCGTAGATGGTTGGAATAACTCAGCATGCTGGTCCCTTGGGTTGATTATTTCTTACATACTCTTTCAATCGGACTCTGTTGCCCTGTGCCTAATTCCCACTGCCTGACGCTCACGTTTGAAAGCGAAGTTCTTTGGTTGCGAAACTTAATCGTTCTCCTGTCTAGGCCTAGACGGTATTCTGCCCACGCAATACGATGAACTTCGCTCTAACTAACTTGATACTCTTGCTTTCTGAGATGGACAGATTGCTGACATCGAATAAGACTAGATAGGCCTGCAATTAAAACCCGAGAGCTTTCTCTAGTTCTCTTTAACTCTGGTGGACCTGGTTTTGTGGACGATTTTTCGGTGAAATTGGGGGAACAGGAAACTGTCCAAACCGACTAGAACTGCTCCTTTATCGTCTATATCTTCATTGGGGCAATAATATAGGGATCAGCCGATATATCCATCCATCCCCATCCTGCGTAGCCACCCCTCCAATCACGATCGCATTCGTTAGGCATAACAATTTTTTCGGCATGATAGCCGGCTGTTAGCTCTCCGGAGCGATGTCCACCCGTTACTGGGGCCTCAGCCGCCGTGGCACTGTTTTTTCCTTCTTGTCCTTTGTATTGCAACAATAGCTGGGGTGTTTTCCACCTGCAGCTAACATGTATAATGAATGAATAAATGATGGCTCCATGCCTATTCGTATGCTTTTGCAAAGATATAGATATATATATCGTGCGGCGAAAATTTATGCTATGCCTGACGAATGCGGTCGTGATTGGAGGGGGGGACTAAGCAGGAGGGGGCTGGACAAAGGAACTCACAACAAAAACGCCACTGGGGCCGGCTCCTAACCATATCAGCGAATGTGTCCAACCAAACGTGTTCATCGTCCTTAGGACCTCGGCCAGGCAGTCGGGATCCACCAACTGACGCCAACTTCGAAGTCAGGATTTTCATCTCTCTCGACCAACTTATCGCTTGGCCTCCCCTCCTCCTCTTCCAACCGCACTCCCGGCGCGCAAACAATGCACGTCTCGGAAGTCGGTGTACTGGCATGCACAACACGTGGCCCAGCCATTGGAGTCTGGTGCGTGATATAATGGTGCTGAACGGTTCACTCGCTCTTCCTTCACCAAATATGCGACGCCGAACATGCTCATTGCTCACGCGGTGCTCCCACCAGACATGGGCTAAGCTGCGAAGGCAGCGATAATCGAATGTGACGAGCCTCTTTATGTCTGTCGACCTGATGGGCCAGGTTTCACAACCATATAGGAGAATTGAACGGACGGCTGTGTTGTAAACTCTGTCCTTCAGGGTGAGAGTAGTGTCGCGTCTGCGCCACAGGTG